TAAAACTTATTCAACAAATAGTCACTTTTGAAAAATATGCCTCAGAGATGTCAAAAATGGTAAATTTAATTCGTTGTTGGTTGATTTTATATTAAATCTACCAAAATTGAATTAAAAATAAAGAGGCTTACGTTCGCAAGCTGACTTTTCCGCATGAAATTTTGGGAATAAACTGAAATTATGGTCTATGTTTGGTTGCAGTAACTTAAATCGCCGTAAAAACTTGTGAATATTATTTTCTTATCAAAATAAATAATCTCACAAAATTAAAAAAAAAAATCAATAAAAAAAATAGCCTGTTCAACTCAGAGAAATTGAACAGTGTGAACAATTGAACATGAATGTGTTCATTGTATTTCGCCCATTTACACTGAAGTTGTTTCTTCCCAGTGTGAATCGTCATTTTACACTTTGATTTTGATTTGTTCAGTGTAAAATGATTTTGCGTGAAAAAAACTATTTTTTTAAAATTATTAAATTTTTTTCATGTTTTTATTTTATTGTTAAATATCCAATGAAAGATTTAAAACTTAATTTGGTTTGATATTGATTCAATTTGTATACAATAGTGATTTTTTGCTCTAGAAAAAAATTAGCATTGCGATGTAAAAAACACAAACAAAATTCATCTCTCACGTTCATATTTGGGATAACTTGTATTATTTTTTCAATATTTAATCGATTTTGTACATTGAAAGAGACTAAACAACGATTAAAGTGTTTTTTTATGCATGAAAATGTGCGACGGTTCATTTGAAAAACACACACTCTGCACAAGTAGTCATATAGTTTAGTGCAAATCATGCACTGATGTGGCTCTGTGAATACGTGTCGACTGTATCAAGCATACGTCCGCAAGGGGGGCGTATTTTTTCCAACGCAAATTTCGAATTTTTGGGCTGAAAACTAAAGATTAGAAAATGGTCATTCTTAAGGTAGTTTTGGACGCTCTATCGATTGGCATCATTATTTTTTTTATCCTGACCCTGCCCTTCCCCTTAATCGGGGGGTTGTCATTTTTTTTTCTCTGAAAATCTGCCCCGACGCTGATTTGAGGGTCAAGGAGTGGAAAAACCCCCCTAGACCCCCCTCATACTCAAGTTATTTTTCATTCCTCTATCGATTGGCATCATTGGTTTTGACCCCCCAATGCAATCCTTACCCCCTAGGGGGTGTTCTGGTTTTGAACCTTCTAACCCCGAAGGTCTTTGGAGTGGAAAAACCAACATGACCCTTCACCCATACCCGGGGTATTTTTAGTGCTCTATCGATTGGCACCATTTTTTTGACCCCCCGACGCCTCCTTACCCCCCTTTTGGTTCCTATACACTGACCCCGATTTAAGGTCATTGGGGGTGAAATACCCCCGGAGTGTGTTCCTACACCCAAGGTAGTTTTCAGTGCTCTATCGATTGGTATCATTTTTTGACCCAAACCCCTTATTCCCTACATACACCCTCCTCTATATTTACCCAAACTGGTTCTATACCCCAATTTAATGCTCGGACCAAAAAATTATGCACTATAATGTTGTTCACAATGATTAGAGAAATTTTTTGGGTCACCTGCCCTCCAAGTCCCCCCACCCCCCAGGGGGTCGGAGGTCAAAAACCCTCAAGGTGTGATTTTTTTGACCTGAAACCCCGAAATTCGGACTCAGCGTGCCAAAATACCTTAGAATTGATATTTTTCTCATCCACTATTGTGTCTAGCCCCAGTGCCCTCCATTTGGGGTCGAATCCTACAAAGTCGATTTTTCACTTTTTCGGTCCGGAATTTTGCACCAAAATGTATGACCAACTATAGCTAAATTTTGGCGCACATTTCATTTTTGCCATTGGGCACCCCTTCCCATCACCCCCAATGGGGGTCCCCCTACAAAATTTACGAATATTTCAAAAAGTACCCCCAAAATAAGGGCCAAACCAATGGGAGGAAATGACAGCAAATTTTAAAATTGGCGCGCTGTTTAGTTTCGATTTGAGTTGTAAAATAACATTGACGTCCCCTTTGAAATTCGGTGCGCCACCGTCGGCTCAAAGAGACTTGAAGTCTTCACATCCTCTCATTGGGCCAAACCCTATCCAAACCCAAAACTAATTACATATTCGGATTCCTTGTGAAAAACTACCTTTAGACACCAAGCATTGCATTCTCTCTAAACCACACTATTTTGGGGGTACTTTTTGAAATTTTCGTAAATTTTGTAGGGGGAACCCCATTGGGGGTGATGGGAGGAGGTGCCCAATGGCAAAAATTAAATGTGCGCAAAAAATTAGCTATAGTTGGTCATACATTTTGGTCGATCGGGCATCAAAAAATACCTTGAGTATGAGGTATAGGGGGGTGTTTTTCATGTCCTTGACCCTCAAATGGGAGTCTATAAATATTTGGGGGGTAAGAAAAATTGGTAGCCCCACAAAGTGAGGAGGGGTCGGTTGGGGGGTCAAAACTAATGATGCCAATCGATAGAGGAATGAAAAATAACTTGAGTATGAGGGGGTCTAGGGGGGTTTTTCCACTCCTTGACCCTTCAATCAGCGTCGGGGCAGATTTTCAGAGAAAAAAATGAAAACCCCCCGATTAAGGGGAAGGGCAGGGTCAGGATAAAAAAATAATGATGCCAATCTATAGAGCGTCAAAAACTACCTTAAGAATGACCATTTTCTAATCTTTAGTTTTCAGTCCAAAAATTCGAAAGTTGCGTTGGAAAAAATAATCCACCCCCCCCCCCCTGCGGACGTATGGTATCAAGCTAACGTTCTGTGTTCAATACTAAAAAACATTTTTATTTTTTTTCATTCCAATTTAAATTATTTTTATTTTATTTTCAATCATTTACATTTATTTTATATTTTCCTAATGAAAGAAGAAGAAAAAAAAAATCATTAATGCTATTTACCTTAAAAAATGGACATAAAAAACTATTTGATTCACATAGTCTTGAATATTTGAACTGAAATCATTTTTTTATGAGAAGTCGTGAGATTTTGCGGCGAAATATAATTTTGGTAATCCCGAATTTGGAAATTTCTATCAAGCTCAATATGATGAATATGTTGATATTCTACAAGCACAAACAACAGAATAGAAAAATTGACTATAATTTTATATTAAATAATGATTAGTGGTGTTCTTCATTTCTCATGTGGGTGATGTTTGCTTTTCATTAGAACTTGGATAAAAAATTAAAAAAGAAATATTTTATCAAAGTATCATCGGTGTTGAATGTGTTTTACTATAGTGTTTTTTTACTATCAAATAAAAATAAAAATAGGAATATTTTACATAGCGAATTTGTCGTGATTAAGTCATAAAAAATTGAACATTTGTTCTAATGGAATTTCAGTTCCCTTTTAGATTATAAAAAAAATATGTAATATTTAACGTCAATAACAACATTTTCAAGCTGACAATCACTGACGTTTCGCAAGGAGATACTTCTAAACTAGTTTAGTATTTAGGTGTGGGCAAAGCAGGTTTACTATTATTGTGTAAACGCCACGAAACACTTGTGCAAATATAGTATAAGATTTGGAAAATATTTCAGCAAAGTTAAATGCTTTCCAATTGAAATTAGTCGAAAAAAAACTTCATTTGGTACTTGTTGTTTGCAAACAGAAAATCAATTACAAGTAATCATGAAAACGGCAATAATATTATTGGTAGTGATTGTGTTGTGTAATTGCGAAACTTCGCATAATGTAGAAAAAGCATTTGAAGATGCTGGAATTGTGCCAGATTCGTTGAGTATTGCACCGACAAAGGCTGTAAACGTAAGACATTTTGGATTTTGAAAAATAAAACATTGAATAACCATTTCTCTTGTGAAGGTTTCATATCCCAGTGGTGCCACTGTAAATTTTGGTAATGTACTAACACCAACTCAAGTTAAAGAAAAGTCAACAGTAAAATGGAATGCAGAAAAAGATGCATACTATTCAGTATTAATGGTCGATCCTGATGCACCTTCACGCCAAAATCCGAAAAATCGCGAGTTCCGTCATTGGCTCGTAGTGAATATTCCAGGAAATAAAGTTGAAGAAGGGGACGAAGTGATTGAATTTATTGGATCGGGAACACCACATCGGACTGGCCTTCATCGTTACATATACTTGGTATACAAACAGCCTGATGGATTTATTAACCACGCAGAACCACGGTCAAGCAATAGGTAAAGCTAAATCATTACGATTCATTAAGAGTTATCAGTTTAATTACACTAATGACGTCGGCCCCCCACCCCTTTACTTTTTATTTCTGAGTTTACATTTTGATATTTTGGAATTTGTGCTCACCGAATATACCAATTTTAAAGTTATTGCTATGAACCCGACCTGGAACAAATTCATCAAAACTCAAATTTTTGTCAAAAATGAAAATTTTGTATGGCGACCCCCTCTAAATATGCATGAAATCGTGAACAAAGCACAGTTCTATATTCCTCGGAATTTGTGCTGACCGAATAGACCATTTTCAGAATTTGTGCCATTAACCTCAACTGGCACAAATTCATCAAAAATCGATTTTTGTCAAAAATGAAAATTTTGTACGACAACTACCTTTAAACTTGCATGAAGTTGTGCGCAAACCACATTTATTTACTCCCCGGAATTTGTGCTCACAAAATATATCATTTTTACAATTCTCACTATCAACTCGAGCTGGCACAAATTCATCAAAAATCGACTTTTTGTCAAACATGAGCTTTTTGTACGGCGACTACCTCTGAACGTGAATGGAAACGTCAGCAAACCACGTTTATATAGTCCACGGAATTTGTGCTCACCGAATGTATCATTTTTACAGTCCTTACTTTCATCCTGAGCTGGCACAAATTCATCAAAAATCGACTTTTTGTCAAAAATGAACTTTTTGTACGGTGACTACCTCTGAACGTGAATGGAAATGTGAATAAGCCACATTTATATAATCCTCGAAATTTGTGCTCACCAAATATATCATTTTTACAATCCTCACTTTCATCCTGAGCTGGCACAAATTCGTCAAAAATCGATTTTTGATGAAAATGAACTTTGTGTATAGCGACCCGCTCCAAATGTGCATGGAATCGTGAACAAAGCACATTTATTTACTCCACGGAATTTGTGCTCACCATACAATGATTTTTGGATAGAATAGATCCGTAAGATCTCCGCAAGATCCGGATCCAAGCGTACGTAGCCGCATGATATGGTAATGCTATGGCATGCGAATCAAAGAAGGGGAAATAAGAATAACGAATTTGCGTGCGTATTATATATGTATGCATCATGCGGCAGCGTACGCACGCTTGGATCTGGATCTTGCGGAGATCTTTCGCATCTATCCTATCTAAAAATCATTGTATGGTGCTCACCGAATGTATGATTTTTACAGTCCTTACTTTCATCCTGAGCTGGCACAAATTCGTCAAAAATCTATTTTACGCAAAAATGAAAATTTTGTATGGGAAATTTTTTTAAACGGGTTTTTTTTGGGGAAATTTTTGCACAGGGATTTATTGCTATATTTGTGCTCACAAAAAATATATACTTTTGAATACTTTGGCCCAATAGGTTCGAAACACAAATTACCCAAAAATCACGGAAAACGCGATTTTTATTTGAGATACTCTTTCAAAAAAATGTATACTTTTCAAATCAAAAAACACTTCGTGTGTCAATATCAACATTTTGTATGAACGAACGCGTCACTGAAAATGTATATCAGAACATTTCCAGATTTACAGTATTGCGTCAGATTTTAATATTATTGAATATTTTTTAATTAACTTCAATTAACTCAGAAGGTACGACACGAAGTGTTTTTTGATCTGAAAAGTATATTTGCCAGTGTAAAAATTTTGAAAGAGTATCTCAAATAAGAATTTGGGTAATTTGTGCTCCAATACAAAAGTATATATTTTTTGTGAGCACAAATATAGCACCAAATCCCTGTGCAAAAATTTCCCCAAAAAATCCCGTTTAAAAAAATTTCCCATATAAAATTTTCATTTTTGCGAAAAATCGATTTTTAATGAATTTGTGCCAGCTCGGATTGAAATTAAGGTTTGTGAAAATTGTCTATTCGGTGAGCACGAATTCTGAGGAGTAAATAAATGTGATTTACTCACAATTTAATGCACATGTAGAGGTGGTCCTTATACAAAAAGTTCATTTTTGCAAAAAATCGATTTTTGACGAATTTGTGCCAGCTCAGGATGAAAGTAAGGACTGTAAAAATGATACATTTGGTGAGCACAAATTCCGTGGATTATATAAATGTGGTTTGTTCACGTTTCCATTCACGTTTACAAAAAGTCACCATACAAAATTTCCATTTTTTCGAAAAATTGATTTTTGATGAATTTGTGCCAGCTCAGGATGAAAGTAAGGATTGTAAAAATGATACATTCGGTGAGCACAAATTCCGTGGGCTATATAAATGTAGTTTGTTCACGTTTCCATTCACGTTCAGAGGTAGTCACCGTACAAAAAGTTCATTTTAGACAAAAATCGATTTTTGCTGAATTTTTGCCAGCTCGGGTTGATAGTGAGAATTGTAAAAATGATATATTTTGTGAGCACAAATTCCGGGGAGTAAATAAATGTGGTTTGCGCACAACTCTATACACGTTTAAAAGTAGTTGTCATACAAAAAGTTCATTTTTGACAAAAATCGATTTTTGATGAATTTGTGCCAGTTCGGGTTAATGGCACAAATTCTGAAAATGGTCTATTCGGTCAGCACAAATTCCGAGGAATATAGAACTGTGTTTTGTTCACGATTTCATGCATATTTAGAGGGGGTCGCCATACAAAATTTTCATTTTTTCAAAAAATCGACTTTTGTTACACAGAAAAAAAATATCAGCCGACGCTATACGCAAAACCGACTGGTACGTGCGCTCATACGTTTTTACATCTTTTACATCTATTACCATACGATTTTTCGACTGTGCGAAGATACGCACAAAGAGTAACGAATCAGTCGAAAAATCGTATGGTCACTAGATGTAAAAGATGTAAAAACGTATGAGCGCACGTACCAGTCGGTTTTGCGTATAGCGTCGGCTGATATTTTCTTACTGTGTAAATTTGTGCCGGCTCGGGTGCATAGCACAAATTCTAAAAATGGTGGCACAAATTAGCACAAATTCCATGCTAGTAGAATCAAGCCTCAAATATTAATTTGACAGGGGGGTGGGGGGCCGACGTCACGCAGGTCTATTATCTTCATTTAATTAATTTCAAATATTTATTTTGCAGGAGTGCTGCGAACCGAGCAAAGACCTCAGTATCAGAATTTGCACAGAAATACAGTTTCGGTAATCCAGAATTTGGAAATTTCTATGAAGCTCAATACGATGAATATGTTGATGAACTCCACGCACAATTGCAAGGATAAAATTTTAGAAATTTCAACGAATTTTATAGACATTGTTTTAAATTGTTAAAATGGTTTTCTTTTCTACAATATTAATATATTGAAAACATAAAAAAGGAGAAAGTTTTTCATTTCAAAGAGTATCAAAATCACGTTGCTCACTGGTTCTTGTTGTTGTGTATTTTTTGAATATCAACAATAAAACAAGTGTCATATATGTGACAGATCGTACAATTGATTTGTCACGAGGGTAGTCCTGCGACTCGTGAGCGTGATAAACACCGGTATGTAGTGAAATTCAAATAAATGTGTCCATTCATGAGGAATAAATAAGAAGGCATTTCATATTTTGTTTAATTTCAAGGATTTCCTTTCATTCGTTTTAATTTAAAAAAAATTGTTTCGAATTGTCTTATATACACGATCTGGTAGGCTATCTAAGGTTCCATTTATGGCAACATTTATTTAAACATGATAGTGTCATCGAATGACATTTCCTGCGTTAGATAGACTTTTTTCTATACAAAAAAAAAAACAATATCGCCATTAAAGGTGTAAAAATTGTTGCAAACAGTGGCATTTTTACAAGCTTCTAATTTATGTTTAAACAAATCGTGAATATCTTGAGAGAATTTTCGATTTAATTTTATTTGAATAGATTTTCTTGTTTTGAATGGAATTGATGTAAAATAGAAGTGAATTGAGAATGTCGTTCGGTAGTTCAAATCCGCCATGGCAGCGAAATTCGCTGGGAAATGCTGGTCAGCAAAATGCAATAGCAAATTTACAGTCACAAATGATGAATACGAATTTTGTTGGATTTCAAAATTTGGCCATGACAAATCAAGTACCACAAAATAATTTAACATTGGTTCCGCAATTGCAAGCGGCCAACATCAACACATTGAACAATACAAGTGCATTGTTTGCAAATCATCAAACAATTCAATATCAAAATCGACCGGGCTTGAATCCAAATGCATTTGGGCCAGCGCAAAGTGGCCAGCAAATAATGCATCATCAAGCCCAAACACAATCGAGTCAATCACAAGTGCAAGGTAATCCACACAGTGCCGCATCTCAACTATGCAATAATCCAGCATTCAAATGGAATCCGAATTTAGTTCAACAAGTGACGGCGGCAAATCAAGGCCATAGTATGAACATGCGACCAAACACCAATCAGTCACAAATGCAAGTGCAATCCTCACAACAGCAGCAACAACAACAACAATCAACGCGAAATTTCACAGGTTACAATGCAGCGCAGTCACAGAGTACATATGCCAATAGCTTTGAACGTACATCTAATAATTCTACGCGTAGTTCGAATCATTCATCACGACAATCACCACCGTCAGCAACCCGACGAAGCTCCCCTGACCGTAGCAGTCGACGTGACGAAGAAGAACGAAAGAGACGCAAGGAACGGGAAAGGTGACTATTATCAACACTTATCGAATTGAATTTTATTTTGTATTTCTGCCATTTCGTTCAATTTTCACAGAGAACGCGAAAAAGAACAAGAAAAACGCGAAGACCGCAGTCCAGTACGAAAAATATCTCCACGACGCAGAACACGACCGATTCCACGTTATATGGTTCAAGTTCCCAAAATTACTTTGAACGCGTAAGGGTTTAATTTTCCAAATGAATCTATTTCCAAGTTTTTTTTTCTTCAATATCATTTTAAATTACATTGTAGGAGTGAGGCTGATATTTTGGAACTTCGTCGACGATACATGAATCTTTATGTACCATCCGATTTCTTTTATTCACGCATTTGTTGGTCGGAATCATTTCCTTGTCATGCACCATTTTCAATTAAAAAGCCGTCCGCATTTCATATATTTCATAAGAGGGTCGAAAATCCAAATGGTGTTGAAAATGGTGCCGTATTTGAACCTCCCGATGCTGATGATTCTTTTCAAGCCAAGGTAATGCAAAAAATTGTCACTTTTTCTCTGCATTTTCGAACACTTTTTATAATTGAAGAAGCAAAATCTCAATTTGATTTGATGATGATGATGTTCTTAGGTGATGCTAATGAGTGTACCACCAATGAGTGAATTTTATCGCAAATGTTTTACAAGTGCTGATGAAAAGGAACGTGATGATTTACTGCATCCGTCACGCTTAATTAGTTTTTTGGTTGGTGTTTTGGGAAAAAATGAGACAATGGCTATCGGCGGATCTTATTCACGTAGTTTGGATGGACCGAACCCTTCAAAAGATCCAACAGTTTTGATAAAAACGGCAATTCGTACGTGCAAAGCATTGACCGGTATTGATTTATCACCGTGCACACAGTGGTGAGTGAAATGGTTATTAAATTTACTCATTTTCTTTTCAAAAAAATACAAACAATATTTATAGCAATTCATATGTATCGACAATGCTTTGGATTAGAAAAGTCTAATTCTGTCATTTGTTTCAGTCATTCTATTTTAAAGGAGCGACAATTGCGCTATATCTTATTCAAATTTCTTGAATGATTATTATGATTCTTATTTTGGTGGATTTCATAATAAGCGCAACTATTTTATAAGTAAATGGGTGTTTAGGAAAAAATTGCATAAAAAAATGTTGTTTGCCTTTTCTTCTATTAAATTCAAATCTGTTATATTTAATACATAATAACTATTTTTAAAAATGAATGTTCTAGTTGTTAAGTGTCTATGTTTAAAAGAAGAAAAAAAAATATTTGAAATCGTTGTATCAACCAACATACACCATCATACAGTGAAATGCTCTAGTATTACTATCACCTGGTAGTCTGTGGATTGAGAAACAAGCGTGATATCTTAATGCATACAAAATATTTAAAAAAAAATCACCGTGAAATGAACAACACAAACAAAACATTGTTTTCTCCTATTATCTCTTTATTTTTTTGTCATTCATATGTAGGTATCGATTCGTGGAACTTTATTATACTCGTCCTGAAAGCGTACGCAAATGCCGAACCGTTCCCGCACGTACACAAACCGTTGTAATTTTTTTGCCCGATGTTCGATCTTGCTTGCCAACAAGATTGGAATGGGACGAACTTTCTAACAAGTATAAAAAGCATTTGGAAACGAAATATCATTCAAACGATGACGTGGAAACTCTTGATGCAGACAAAAAGCAATCGCCTGGAGTAAAGTTGAACGAGTTAACAAACGATGGCGGCATTAATGCTGACATCGAAATGGATGACGAATCAAACAAGTTGGAACAGGACACACACAACAACGTTGGCAATGAAAGTCATGATTCATCTGAAACAGCAGCTGCTAAAGCAACAGTGGATGCCGATACCAGCGATGCAACACCAACTATTTCAAAGGCATTGCTTAATATCATTTCTAATTTCACATGAAACATTTTACTTTCATTTTAGTGCTTAGAATGCACCCATATCAAAATTAAGTGATTTTCAATTCAGTACATCACGTACGGATTCACAGAAAACAAAATTAGTCGAATTTTGGTTCACAATATACGATATGCTATTTACATTCAGTTCCCATAAAAACAACATTTCTCTTACTCCCAAAATAGATTTTTAGATACATTTCCAGGCAATTCTCATGGAAAAGTGGTCTGCTGAGAAAATACACCTTGTTTTCTTTTTCCGTATCAATGTTTTCGTTCGAATATTTTATTTCAGTTATCAAATTGTATTTGAAAACTTTAAGACCGAAAGATGATTTGTTTTTATTTCTTTATTTCCAAGCAATCGTTATGTCCAATAATATTTTATACATCTAATATTTCGTCTCTGTCTATTTAACAGGGCGAGAAAATTGAATCAATGAAAATCGAAGCGACTCACTTTTCGGACTTGGATGTGAAAACCATGAAAATCCAAGATTTACGAGATCAACTTGATGCAAGAGGAATTTCATCAAAAGGTAAAATCTCAATATTTTTACCAAATAAATCTCAATTTCTTCAATTTCATAGGACTGAAACCTCAACTTGTTGCACGTCTATCGAAGACTCTAAAGTCCGAAGAAACTGAATCGATTAGTGCAGAGAACCAAAATGAAAGTAATGTTGTCGCATCTGCGACACAAATTGCTAGCAGTGAAATAAATGAATCTAACGATAGTATGGATATTGATTTGGCCGACATTGTAATTATCGATGAGTACGTATTCGATCTTATTAAAGCAATGTTGTTGCAATGTTTTTTTGGCGATTGATTTGCTCTTAAACAATATACTTTTTTCCATTACTTTTCGATTCTTTTCTTTTGATAATCCCTAGGTACGTACTCGATTCGACGAAGATTGACTCGAAACATGATTCGGCGTCCAAGAGAGTGAGCATCATTTTGAATATACAAATATTTCCAATGTGATTCAATGTTTTCATGTTTCTTTTCCCAGAGTTCATCGAAAAAGGTTGATCGTTGGCTTGAGAAGCGCTATCGTTTACCTGAAAATCCTCAAATCCTTTGCCATCCGGCTCAGAACACTTCAATGGAAAAGTTCACATGCGAAGTTCGATCGCTATCAATTTTACTCGACTATCGGCCCGAAGATACAAAGAAAACATGCTTTGAAGTATCCCTGTTCGCAGAGCTGTTCAATGAAATGCTGATGCGTGATTTTGGTTTCAACATTTATAAAGTACTTCACACAATGCCAGAACAAGAACAAGCGGAGCATGAATCGAAGGAGAAACGTGATAAATCGGTTGAAGATGAACCGAAAGAAAAACGTCATCGCAAAGTTAACGAAAAATCATCAGAGTCTAAATTATCGAAAAAGGACGATTCAAGCGGTGCAACGAGTCACGATAAAACGAAATCGGAAACCGATAAAGATTCAAAGAACAGCAAAGATGCAAGATCCAGAGAGAAGGAAAAAGAAAAGAGTAGCCGCCGACGAGAGGAGGATAGTGATGATGAACGTTCAGTTGATGGAAAGAAACGTGATACAAAGAAAATGATCACCATTGATCCAGAATTGTTACTCTCATTCGTCTATTTTGATCAAACAAATTGTGGTTACATATTCAGCAATCATTTGGAAGAGCTATTTTATTCATTGGGCTTACGTTTGTCGCGAACAGATGCAAAAAAAATCATCAACAAAGTTGCACCACGATCGTTGTTTTATCGGTAATAGGCTTGATATTTTCGTATTGAAAAGAAAGTTCCAGAGATTATACTGTGGATAGAAATATATTGCGATATTCGCAATATATCTCGTGGGATGTATGTGCGTCAGTTACGAAAACACGAATAAGAATGCGAAGCGAGACACGAAGAAACACAAGTACATGTATGTGTGTGTACGGCGTACACTGTACGCTTCGTGCCTTGTGTCCTATTCTTTATTTCCCCTTTTCATCTGCCTGCTATGTAGTGTAGAAGCCTTTGCCAACATATATATGCATGTACGACAGCAGACGAAAGAGGGAAATAACGAATAAGACGCTAGGCATGAAGCATACACACACATACATATACCTTTGTTTCTTCTTATCTCGCTCTGTATTTTTTTTTTCGTGTTTTCGTAATTGACACGTTTATACATCTTACAAGCGGCGAGATATATTGCGAATATCGCATATTTCTATTTGATGGGAAATATTCACTAATATATTTGACAGCCTTAGAAGAAAACAATAACATACAGAACATGTTGCAAATAATACTAATACAAATTTGATGAGAGCAAAAACCAAACATATAAAGAGACAGCGCAAAAGGCAAATGCAAAACAAGTCTACTTACATGTGTTTCTTATGTACGTAGGCTGGTTTTGCATTTGCCTTTTGCGCTGTCTCTTTATATATTTGGTTTTTGCTCTCATAAAATTTGTATTAGTATTATTTGCAGCATGTTCTGTATGTTATTGTTTTCTTCTAAGGCCGTCATTTCTATCCACAGTATAATCTCTGGAAAGTTCACGCGTTATCGAAATTTAAATTATTTTTTCCAGAAAATTGACCGATAAGCCAAAAGATGAACCAACAACAAATATACCATCAGTGTCTGTTGAAAATCTTGAAGAGCTTGGTAAGGGAAATAATTTTCTGTTACCGTTCATCGATAATAGTGCACCAATTGAGAAGAGTGAAAAAATTGAATCAGAAAATGTTGAACAAATCAGTGAGCCAAGTACGGCTGAAAGTCATATGGTGATGCACAAAGGTGCTCTCATTGATATTGAGAAATTATTGAAACAGTTGAATCGGTCCGAAAAGGCGCGCGAAGAAACTGAACATAGTCTAACTGAATTGACACGGACATATACGGAGTTACAGTCAAGCAATTCAAAGGCCAAGGATAAAATAAAAGATTTACAATCAGAGTTGAAAAGCTCCAATCGAAAAATGGGCGATACTGAAAACAGTTTGAGCACCATAAATGTAATCAAATTTTATATCGATAACATGAGACAAAATTTACTAATTTCGTGATTGTTTGTTTACAGAAAAAATGTGCAGACTACTACTCGATTTTATGTGGTATTCATAAGGGGCAATTCGCTTAAAAATTGCCTTTCTATTATTAATTAATTCTTATTGATTCTTTTTCGAATATTTTAAATTAATTCTATTCTTTTCTTTTGTGATTCTCCTCTTAGGTATTCATGATAAACTTGGTCCAATATTTAACAAAAGTGAACGCGGCTCATCGAAGAAGGAGTCGTCGAAGTGAGTGATTTTGGTGTTAAAGGTCATCATAATATAATTTAATATATTTTATTTTACTCACTAGTCGTGACAAGGACCGACGAGATCGTGATAAGGACAGAAATAATGGTACTTCAGCAAATAAAGAAAAAGATGTAAAAGAGTCCAAGGCTGAAACAAAATCGGAGATTATACAAGAGAAACCAGAGAAATCGGACAAACAGGAAGAAAACTAGTTAACGTCGCAATACGAATCTTTAAATTAATAGTAATCAATGTACACCGCATTCAAATCGGAATATATTTTAATAGCATTCACAATCGATTTGTTTATTGCTAAAAAATATGTTTATTATGAATAAAAGCGCTTATTATATTCTCACATTTAACATATTTTACTTTGTGCTCGTTGATTTTTCCTCAATTCTTTGTACAGTTTTACGACTTGACTCTGTTCAGACTCAATCATTGTTCGCATCGCTGTTGATAGATCCTTTCGTTTTCCCTTCAGCGACACAGACTTAGACTTGGTTATTTTGACATTCTGTGGTTCGATCCTTTCTTTTCGCACTTCATCTTCGCTCTTGGCATATTGATTGATCACTGAATGTAAGAGAAGCGATTTTCGGCCCGGCTGAACAAAAATTCAATATATTAAAATTACATATAATTCAATTTATATGTTAGTAAATATTTACCCTGGGAACAGTTTCCACTTTTTGCGCTTTTCGTGGAGCAACTAATTGAGGCGGTGCTTTAAAGAAATTGAATAGAGAAATATTTAAAAAAAATACAGAAACAATAATTAGAAATTCTTACCATTTACGACTTCTCCAAACTTAATTTCATCGCGTTTGAATTCTTGAATTTCTTCAGTTTTTGTCTCTGACTCTTTCTGTTTCTTTTCTTCCATCATTGCTTTGATCAACTTTTTACGTTCTTCCGGAGCAATGGTGATGGAAGCTTTGGCCTTTTTACCGCCTCTTTTCGCATTGGCCGCATTTTGTTTAATTTGTTCGTCAATTTCGTTCGTAGGACGCTTCTTCAACTTTATCTCACCCGTTTTTTTATTTCGAATCACTTCTACACCATATTTTGCCTCAAATTTTGCTTCCTCAACCGATTCCTCTGTAACACGGTTCACGCGTCGCATAAAATTTCGATCCGACTCATTCGGCTTTTGGTACAGATTGTCAAATTGCTTATCACTTCGATTTTGATTTGTTTTACCTTTCTTTGTGTAGTTTTCTAAATGCGAACAAATGGTTTTTCAATGTTACTCAACACCAGTCATTTTTTACACGGAAATGTTGAAAATGTGAATTTTTACCTGGTTTATCTTCATTTTCGGCGGTATTTCGTTTCACCTTTTTCTTTTTTTCTGGTTGTTTTTTTGCTCCTTCTTTCAACTTAATGAACCGAGCCAAACTGTGTGAAACTTTTTGAAAATCTCGTCGTTCTGGCGGATTGTTTATTTTGTCTTTGATTCTAAGCAAAGCACATGAATATAATTAAAATTGTCAAATATCATTGGAATCGATTAATTTACTTACAATGCCTCTCTCTCCTCTCTTTGCTTAATCGGATCACGAATGCCAAAATGTTTTCTAGCCGGAATTTTTCGACCCATTTCCAATTTTAAACAATGAATAATAATAAAAAAAACCAATATAGTGTGCTTATACACACGTGCAAAAGAATAATGTTTTGACAGTTGATATGCACGATGCGAACTGTCATCGTCATTTGGTGGCGTGAGTTTTGTTGTGTTTTCACGAATGCGATGAAAATTCTTCGAGAAAATCGCACAACACCAAACATTGAGAACATCGCAATAAAGCTGGATACCAAATACTGGCACACTCGTTGGTGTCTCAACATTGCGACATACCATATACAAACGAAGCAGCAAAGAAAAAATCGAGACAAAAGATTTATACACAATAAATCTGTGTTCCATTGAAATCGAAAAAAAAAATTAAATATATAGGTTCCAGAAGAGAAAAAAACCAGAAGTGAGTCATCAGAGTAAATAAAATACGGAAAAGTATTTTTATTCATTTAAATGTGTTATTCAATATAAAATTAAGTGTCCCTTCGCTTGTGCTACAGCACTTCCATATGTTAATTTTGAGCCTACTTTTGAATTTAATTGATTTGATCGATTTAAATCATATTTCCGGCAGATTTTTTTTAAATGTGATTCAACTAAACGATTTTTTATAAAACGTAAACTGCAGAGATTTGCTTGTGTGTCTCGTGAACAAAGGGAACAAAAGTGAATCGAATGGTTGTACGAAGAACAATGTTCGTTGAATTTGATTCAGTGATTAAATGAGTAATTACAATGAAGTGTATCGATTGTTGTTTTAGACTTTATAAAGTATAAATTTGCATATAAAGAGATTTGATACGCAATTGCTGTTCTGTATATTGCATGTCGAAACGTTAAATTGACGCTTAAGTCATATTTCGGATTAATTCGATTGCCGAAGATTATGGCATAATAATTTTCACTGCGTATTCATTACGCCATACATGGCATGCTATTGTTTAGCAGAATACCAAATGATGCACACAAATGACAACTAACCTCAATATGAACAAAAATTGACATAAAACTCAATTTATCCGAAGTCTCAACCGTTTTGGGATAAATTTTAGTATGCATTTTTTCCGCTCAAATGCCAAAGGGATATATGTTGAGCACTTAAATATTTGAGCAGAAAAAATCTGAACTAAAATTTATCCCAAAAACGGTTGAGACTTCGGATAAATCCAGTTTTATGTCAATTTTTGTTCATATTGAGGTTAGTTATGATTTGTGTGTGTAGGATGAGAGATAAAAACAAGAAATATATGCGCGAATGAACCATTGAAGAAACAACCAAAGACTGAAGAAGAAGCAAACGAAACGAAGCAAGAAGAATACAATTTTCAAGAGTGAATCAGTTGCGGTGTGAAGACAGAATTAAGTATATAAAGTTCGATCACTCGTTCGTACGGCATTAAAACCAACGCACCAAACAAGTTTGCATTTACATTACTTATTATGAGTCGACATATATGGCAATTCCTCCCTGTCCTGAATGTCTTATCCGTTCATTGATATTTGTTCTTATTTTATGCTTCAGTATCGGTTAAAATAGAAAAAAAAAGAATCAACAGCGCAAAGTAGGAAACGTTGTGTATTGATTTTAAAAAAACCTAGAAATGTGCAAATGTGCTCATTACGCAATGTAAAAATATAACAAGAATATACCAATTCTACAAATAGTTTCGAAACTAATAAAAAAGAGCAACGACGATATCCACGTGAATTTGTTTGAATGTGTATTTTTCCCATAATTAAATTAACAATTTAGTTTCGATTTAAAAGTAAATAAATTTGTTTGTTTCGTATGTTTTTTTAAAGAAACGTTAAAATGGCCATCGGAAGTTCTGTGTATCAGCCGACGACAGTGTCCTATGAGCCTCGTCCGGGTAGTTTGTTGAGTCAAACAACAGCCGTATCACCGCTTCAAGTGTTGCGCAAACCATATGTACAAGTGATTTTGTTGACGTTAGGAATTATTTCTATAACCGGCGGTAAGTGGCCATTACGATCAATATTACGATAGTCTATGTGATGTTGAAGTCATTCAAGTTTAAACATGTGTACCACATACTTTGCAGGCATTGTTCTTATCGTCAATGCATCAGACGATTATGAATATACCGAAGAGCATCGACAAGAGAAACCAATGGAAATGGTTGAAACGGCCGAGGCCATTGATATTACTTTGATTGTGGGTGGAATTTTGTTGACACTTTTTGGTTTCGTATTGGTAGCATTGTATATCAAAGTGGCCGAATGGCGAAGACAATGTGTATGCCCATGTGGTCTGTCCAAGAAACAAGGACTGATGGCACGACAGCTTCAAACAAGTGGAACTCAGCTGCCATTGAATCCAAGTAGTTTTGATCCATTAGTATCACATACTCAATATGCTCCTGTTTCCGAGCTTCCACGACCTGATGACGAAGAATGCCGCACTTTAATGACAGACAACAAAGATTGGTACGTTTTTAAGATATTTTTTTTTAAATTCTTCGCTAACCCTCTTTCTCTATAATTTTTCTAGTCTTAGCAGCGCAGAGGAATCCGATCGAATGCTAGACCCCGATCCTCGCATCGTACTGCGACCACTTGGCCATGTGGAAGACGCTTAAATATGAAGCAAAATTCATTTGATTTCTCTGCACAACATGACCAATTCCTATATAATTATTGCTTATGATTCGAATCGTAGCATTTACGATCAATCTTCTAACTTCACAAGAACACATCGCATTGTGTTTGAGCATTTTTTAGTGAAACAATTGAGATAATTGAAAATACCCCGGTGAATTTTACAAAATGCAACGAAACAATACTTAATATTCACTTACCTCACCAACCAATACTACGCGTACCTAACCCTCAACCGGGCAGGTCAAAATCCTAACGTTATCGGGCAAGTGGGGCCTCTGAGGCCCGACGTACATTTTCCATGCAAATTCAATAAAAAATTTTTTTTTCAAATTTCATTGAATTTATACGACGAAAATTACTGTTTTAACATATGTAAATAGATATTGAATTAAATATGTTTTTTCTAAAATATAACTGAAAAAATGAAAAAATAATCAATATTTATTCCGAATCGGTTCAGTAGTTCTTAAGTACAAATTTTTCACTTCATTTTAAAAAATTTGATGACATTTTGTATGGAAAATGTACGTCCGGTAGTTGTTCAAACCTCAATACAGCGCTACTTAGGGAACCAAATTCAAAACAACTTTTATCAACGATTAGTAGAAGGATGGAAGAATATATTACCAAACAATTTGTTTGATTAAAATAATATTTTATGCAATTTTATGTATCTGTTTTTAAAAAAAAATGCGCTACCGCGCCTCAGAGACCCGACCTGCCCGGTTAAGGGTTAATATAAACAGCTTTAATTGATCAAAATTCCAAGCGCTCGAAGGAACTTGGACTTTTTTATATTCGGCATATTATTCATTATTTATTTGTCATGTTTTGTTTTTTTTTTCAATAATTTTGCGGATCTGAATAATTTAGTACAAAACAAAATCTCGGAAAAATCGGAACTGTATTGTATTAGAATCTCATATAAGTAATCAGAGCATTTTTATACAAAAAACGAGGCTCAATCAAAATTATTTTACAAAAAAAGTTTTTGATTATGATTTAATTCAATATCAATCTTTGAGGGTGATAAAAATGAATGGTTTGAGTTTAGATCTATGAACATGTTGGCAGTTCTATTTTTTTAATGGAAGAACTGGTAGATAGAAAAAACGTGTAACGTGATAGAAATAAGAAGACATTTTTATGTTTTAAAAACATGCATCAAAATTTATTCATTTTCGCCAATTTTATAGACAAATATTTTTTATGGAAGAAATGTCTGTATTTCCACCATTTTTGGTTATTGATTATGCGCTGGATGATAGACAACGAGTTGTATGAATTAATAAGATTAATATTTCTCGATGTTACTCTAGTAAGTTATATAAGTAATTACTTTCGACAGTTTTTCTCGGCAATATTTGGTAATAAAATGACTTACTTGTTAGCTTATTCTGATGCAATTATTCCAGCTTCGGTGAATATTTTAAAATAAACAGATTTTTCACGTACAATTCTATCTTCATCTCCATAACAATAGAATCTTAGGAGATAAAATAAGTGATAACAAATCGTTCTTCTTCTTATAATAAAACATTTGATTGCATACGATTTTAATTATAGTTAATAAATATGAACGTAAAATTTGATAACACCGCATCGAAATTCGAATGGGATAAAAATGCCGAGTAAACTTTTATGCAACAATAACCAAAATTGACATCTATTATATTATAATGTGAATTATGAATCTATGAAACAGACTTTAATAAAGAAACTATTTTACCCGTCCGTAGAAAAAAAAATACATTTTATTCCTTTATACTTTAATAATTTGATAAAATTATAAAATTGAATCGTTTATTTTCTAATCAAAGTTTTGACCACAAATGAAGAATTTTTTTTTACTTATAGAGAGAAAGTTTTAACAAAAAAATCCTCCTTTCATATTTTTACTTTAATATCTAGTACAGCTGTTCACGGTTTGAATTTGAACGATTTCGAACTATCCTCAAAACAACGTTGATTATATTACTCCATATAAATAAAGAAAGAAAATGTATTTATTTTTTGTATTGTTTGCACAAAAAGAGAAATAAAAATTCCAAGAAAAAAAGAAATGGTGCCAACGACACATGGTGTTCCCAGACGGTCACCCATTCAAGTACTAACCATGCTCAATGCAGCTTAACTTCAGTGATCGGACGAGAACTGGTGTTTTTTACATGATATGGTCGTTGACGAATGTATACCGTCTTATCCAACGGACAAATATGTAACGTTTTTAGGACATTTTAACGTTAAAAAATGTAACGCTTTAACCCATTTTTGTGGCAATTTTCGTGTCAAATGGAAGGTAGAATATAGGCATAATGTGAACCACTTTTTCGGCTTTTTCGTGTTGCGATACACAACAACATCTTCTGTGTGTTTCGATTGTTTCTCTTTTTGTTATTATATTCTAAGAAACTGTAGCGGCAATACAATGTAAACAAATGTAAATAACATAAACTCGTTGAGTTCATAATATCGTATTCATACTCAGAGAAATTGAACAGTGTAAACACAAATGTTTGTTGTGTATTTCGCCCATTTACACTGACGTTTCACACACAGTGTGAAACGTCGAACTACCCACACTACAATAACAATGATGTGAATTCGACATTTTACACTGTGTGTGTATAACGTCAGTGCAAACCGTCATTTTACACTTTGATTTTG